CTAATATCGCCTTGATAGACCGAATCTTGCACATTTTAAAGTTAGGAATTTTACAACCGAAGGTATTCGGAACTAGGAGAGATGAAAGTTTTGCACACTTAATTTGGTACGCAATTCGGGATCTTCTTAGAGACATTCCCGATTTGACATCGAACCATTTGGCACTCTATCAAGCCATATTGGCATTTGAGATGTTGTCAGACAATGGAGAGGCAAACAGAATCCGATCTTCATCATCCGAAGCTCAATCTTCTCCTGGATTGGACGCAACAGCAATGTCGCGAATGGCATCTGAACAGGAGCCTAAACTAAATCCACCACCGGAAGGAAATCCACAGAATGCCCCCAGAGGTATTTCCGAAGGACAAACCGATCGAAAAGCCTATACCTGATCAGGCGGAAGCTAGAACATCTTTGTCATCATCGGGAGACAGTTCGCCCCCAGCGGCTATCCCAACGACGATACAAGATGCTGCCCAATCAGATACGTCCTATTACATAGAACAGATCGATGGATCAAAAGATGAGGCAGACAATCGACTGTATTGTCAGAAGCAGTTAGAAGAAAAGGGATCAGATCACTCCAGTAGTGATTTGAAAATTGCTGAATTCACTGTTCAAATGAACAAAGCTGAGGCTGCTTCACTCGAGGCGATAGATCTAGGTCGGATTGATACCGCTAGTCTTTATATGACAATGGCTACGCACTTCCAGACTAAGATTGATTCAGACCGATAAGGCTATGGAAGGAAAGAAGTTTGTAAAGGACATAGGTAAACTACCAACGACATACAGATCTGATCGAAAGGACCGAAAGGATCCAATCGATACTAGCAGTCTGGCGTTGTTATCTAGGTCTTTGAAAGAATTTGGACAGATTATGCTTACAGCCAATCTACGAAAGAACCTATGGTTTGAAGCAACACAGCAGAGCTTTAAGCCGTCCTCTTACAACAAGTTAGAGAAGGCGAAACAAGCAATCACTAAGCTGAAAACGTGGAAAGAGCAGAGTGAGATGATCGTCCACCTATTTTCGACGGACCCTCGACCGGAATTGCTTGTATCGATCATGATACCACCGGCTTATTAGAGTTGGACACACACATGTCACGGGCCCAGACTCAGGAGATGTCACCCGACAAGCTATCCATATGTGTACTATGGGTACAGACAATCTTTTGGTCGGACCTGCATAGGAGAGATCAAGAGATTCTGTACGCTGATATTCATCAATCTTACCCGGACAAGGTACGAGAGATCTCCATTGAAGGACCTACCTACGGCATAATGAAGCTAGCGGACTTAACCTGGGCTGAATTTTACTCGAGAGCGGATCAGACGTTTACCAAACGCCCTAGTTCCCTGGCGAAAGTCACTAATGCTCAAAAGAAGGTCGGCGGCAATCTTACCGGGGTATCAGGCAATGGTCGAGATTCTCAGTCTACTAATGGAAGTCAGAAGGTGAACAAAGGGGGTGACAAGGGTGGCAATAAGAACAAAAACACAAATGGTTCTGAAGGCCACAAGAACAATGTCATCCCTAAGGGTAACCAGATCAACAGAAATGGACCGCCGGCAGGCAACCCTAAGCCCAGGCATAGTGAGGTTAAGAACTGTAGTGAGACTGATTGCAATTGGCGAATGACCCAACATGAGCCGAATGGCATATGGAATGGAAGGCACGCAGAAAAGTGTAAACACTTTATCGCGAAGTGTGCCGACTGTACCGGGACTGGAGGTTACCACAAGCATATATGCAAGGTGCGACCAGAGGTTGATATTAAGTGACAAACATACCGGGTCTTGTCACTACGACAAAAGGACGCACCTCAAGACGAGCGTGTAATCCTTGATATACGAGTTAACGGACATGAAATAAAAGCGTTGTTGGATTCGGGCTCGCGAATCTCATGTATATCCTCTAGATTCTGAAAAATGACAGACGTAACTCGTAAGTCAGAGCCAACTATGTTGAAACTGGCTGATGAAAGAGAGATCACATGCAGAGAAATGGCAATCGATCTTAGGTTTACATTGACAGACCAACGTACTATAGTTACTAAGGCAGTCATATGTAAGACTTCACCAGACTATGATCTCATAGTAGGTATGAGTGATTTATTGTCATTAGGTATCACAATTACAGGCTTACCTACTAACATTGAACCAAAGAAGGATCAGTCGGACGACAACTTTTTGAAACCGGTATATAAACCTTCGAAGACTGTGAAGGAGATGATCCCTCACTTCACAGAGAAACTCGAGGACTTGATTTTCGAGAATGATAAGATTCGGATCACTGACTGGGCTAAGTTCAAATTCAATAACGGATACGTTAGTCTAGACCTGACGAGAGTAGATATCTCGTGTCCTACACGTAACTATGTTGCATGGCGTCATGAGCAGGTCGTACGGTAATAGGTTAAAGCATGGTTAGATGACGGAGTGATCACAGTCAACTACGAGCCGACTCCCGTCAACCTAGCGCTTTTAGCCGTCGACCAATTCAACTCTGACGGGACGCTGAAGAAAGTTCGGGTGTGTTTGGATATGAGCACAATTAACGCTTCGATACCGACACACAATTTTCACTTACCAAGGATGAACGAACTACTCAGGCGCATGGAGGGAGCTAAGATATTCTCCATTATCGACCTGAAGCAGGGCTACCACCAGATGAAGATCTACAAACCACACCGGAAGTATTTCGCCTTTACCTGGGAGGGTCAGCAATATTCGTTTTCAAAGGTGCCCCCTTTGGGTTACACATGTTACCTACGTTCTTTCAGCAAATTATGCGAGACTTGTTTAGGGACATGGTCAATGTACAAGTATACATTGATGACATTGTGGTATTCACCAAAGCCAAAGAGGAGCACGAAAGGGTTGTGCGAGAGATTCTAGGCAAACTCAACAAGCCCAACTTTAAGGTCAACAATAAGAAATGTCACTTCGGTGTTAACGAGATTCAGCTGTTGGGTTACCGAGTATCTGGGAATGGAATCATGATCGATCCCAGGAAGGTCGAACACTTGCTAGACTGGAGAACTCCTACCACGGGTAAGGATGTCAACAGCATGTGCGGATTCGTCAACTTTTTGTCTGACGGAATACCACACCTGGCAAGTTATTTAAAGCCCTTTGGACCTTTGAGATGACATAAAGGCAAACTAGGCGCACTATGGACCAAAGACTATGATGGCGCATTTAAGCAGCTCAAAACAGTGGTTCAACAGGCACCAGTAGTCCAGCCACCAAAGGATGGGTTTTTATCCGACATGGCACTCGGCGGCGTTCTGTATCAAATGATTGATGGGAAACCAAGATATGTACAGTTCTTTAGCAGGGCTATGAATTCGTCTCAGGTCAATTACTCAACCGTGCAACAAGAGCTTTTGGCTATTGTTACTGCACTCACTCATTTTACGGACTATCTAAATGGCACGCACTTTAACATGCTATGTGATCAGAAGTGACTGCAACATTTAAAGGATATGAAACCTAACTCACAATTAGTCAGTCGGTGGCATGACACGATCGCAAAATTTTCTTTCGGCATAATACACATACCGGGTATTCACAATCACATGTTGTCTCGCTTCGTACCAGACTTTAACAAGGTGGTTAAGGAGTTACTAGCTACGGATTGGATGGCCAATCTTAGGTGGTTTAAGATCGCAGACAACATACATGGACCACATACCATAGATATGTTTGCCGCCCATCATAATGCGCAACTGCCGAGGTACCGGACCCTGGAATATCCGGAAGGAGACGGATTCCAGATAGACTTGTCTAACGAGAATGCCTGGGCAAATCTTACATGGCTATTAATACCACAGTTGCTAAATTATGTACATATGCAAGATGCTACCATCACGTTGTGTTGTCCTCTAAGACACTCAGATAAATGGCTACCACAGTTGATCTCAATGATACAATGTGAGCCAATCTATGTGGATAGAGAGGTAGATACTTTTCTCTACCAGGTCGAATAGCTCCAGTTGGAACAATCAAGTGGACACCATCCGAGACTTTCAAACAGAAGGTTGAGGAATCCAAGATTCCACTCTTGAAATCTAAGTCTCAATCAGAGACTGGGACAACACAAGCACCTGCAGTATGTGTTACCGAGATACAGCCAAATTCAAAGGAATCAAAGAGCAGCGCAACACTAGCGAAAGTCTTCTACAAAAAGATACGGTCTGACAGGGAAACTGCATACCAAGCAGAGACTCGATTGCTTAAACAATTGATGAATGACTTTCCTGAGGTATATGATCATGTGACTCAACTAATGGATAGATCAAACATTAGTCGGATTCACGATGTAAAAGCTTTAGGCGAGATTAGACAAGGTAGATCACAGGAGGCGATTCTGAAGTGGTTAAGACAAAATCATGCTCTTAGGCACATGGATAAGGTTAGAACTGAGAAAAATTGCAAGAGGTACGGAATCGTACACCCGAACCTTAAGCAATATATATCTCAGGTGTATCACGAATGTATCAACTGCGAAGTTAACCGGATCAAGCGCTACGGATACGCACCTTTACGCAGCGTATCAGAAGACGAGCCGTGGCGCCGGGTTATCATTGATTTGGTTGAGCTACCCACGTCCGAACACACGAAGGATAAACATGTCTGTCACGTGTTTGATGTCGCATCAAGATATAATGTATTGTATCCTCTGAAAGACAAATCGGCACAAACTGTGGCTGAGTGCATATTTAAGTGCTTCGCAGATTTCGGCTGGCAAGCTATTGTATGTTCCGACAATGGTAGTGAGTTTACAGGAGATGTCATGACGACACTGTTACTCGTTGCGGGATCATGCCATAAGATGGGTGTACCTTACAAGTCTCAGACACGAGGTGCGAACGAGGTACGACACGGAAAGATGAAGGAGTTCATGCGAGGAGCACT